TAATAATTAGCATAAGACTATTAAAAATAGTAATAATAATTATAATAGTAATAATAGAATAATTTTTGTTAGAATGTTTGTATCCAATAATCATCAAAACGGCTAAATCGATTGGGCCCAAATTTTTTGTGGGATATTGGGAGACCCCAGGGAAGGTTTATGAATGATCATAATTTAAAAAATGTGTTTAAAAGTTTCCCAAGTGTCCCCTTTCCCTGGTTGGTATTAAAAACATTCCTGTGCTGTGACAACGGATCTAAACAAAGCAAACAAACCAAAGGGCGGATAACATAACAATAAAAATGTTATCAAAACAAGTTCATTGGGAGAGGACAACCAGGATGGATACAGTGAGCTTTGAAAACAAAATTTAAGGAGTGAGTCTTCTAGAAATATTTTTTAAAAATGTTAAAAAAACATTTTTGAAAGTAAAACTTTTCAAAATATTGTGAAACCTTTTAAAAGTTGAAAAATCTAAAATGTTTTAAAAATGAAGGACACTAAATGCCCAACACTATGGTTAACAAATTTTCCCTGGGGTCAAGATTCTAAACAAAATTTTGGCCAGATCGGTTCAGCCTTTTATCAATAACAAATCAGCAAACAGACAGACAGACAGGTAAAGTTTAAATATAGATGAATGAAGTTGGAATAGTGAAAGTGTTTGATGTATACACAGGGGTGGAGGAATGATGTGGGGAAAAACTTTGTAAAGATTTCATCCTTTTTTAATATTTTTAAAACAAAAATTCTGAAAGTAAATCCCAGAAAAGTTTTATAGCTTTCCTCGAAAACAACTTTGTTGATAAAAATATTTTTTGTTATCAGAAAAGAAAGAAAAATTGGACATGAAATCTCAATTTTCTTTTTGATTCTTTTTACCCAAAAATTCGGCAAATAAAACCTTAAAAATTGTATCATTATTTTGCGCAAACAAACCTAAATTCTATAGTAAAAAAAGGAAAACAGGAGGGGGGGGGGGTAGTTCATACCAGATTTTCAGTAAATAAAACCATAAATGTTTTTTGCTGCACCGCAAAATCATATCTCATTTCTGTAGGGAAAATTTTTTTTGAAAAGGGAAAAGATTTGTCAGTATGGATAATCAGTACTTTTTGTCAAAATATAGGTTTTAAGATTCAGACTTAGCTCTTGTAATGCCCCTGTCCAACATCTCATAGATCTAAAACGAATCCTAAAAAAAAATGTTGTACAATACTGCACTCTCAGCTTATCTATTATGTCTAACCAGTCACTCCCTTAAAAATGAAACCCTTTACAAAAATACCTGGGTAATATTTTTTGGATAATTTCTTAATTAATTCTTGAGGAAGTGAGACAATTTTTTAATTGTTTGTAAAAACGATCGAATAAAAAACAACCTTTTTTTCATATTTCATTTCATATATTTATTCAACTACAAAGCATGAGATATTACAAATAAGCAATCACAATTTACTATGCAGTTTGGACCCGCCTAACCAGGGTTGGTTGTTTTGAGTGGTTGGCTATCAAGATATGTTTTTGGATAGGTAAGGAGTTGATTGGAAGGAAGGAGATTGTCAGGTGATCTGTGGCAGGGTGAGATCAAAGGGATTTTTATGTAGAGATAAATTAAAATACAGGGTGTTAATGATGGTAATTACAGAAACAGAAATAAGCTAATAAAGTTTTGTTTCGTTTTTTTTCTTAAAATGATCATTTCGTTTTTAGAAAAAAGGATAATTTTAAACCAAACCACTCGATTTGAACTTTCAAATAACTAACTATGACAGTTTATTTCAATTTGTTTTCATGAAGATAAGGTTAAGGATGAATGAATGAATGAATGAATGAATGAATGAATGAATGTTTTTATTATCAAGACAAATAACCTGAATGTTTTCTGACCTCGTTCACAAAGAGTTGTCGTTAACGTTGGATAAACAAAGGGTCATTTTCAAAAACAATAGTTTATAAAAACGACAGTCTTTTAAAAAACAATAAATGATCGTTATAAAATAATTGTTTTCTTTTTCGTTTTTTCTTTGTCAAGACTGCGTAAGCTTTATCTTAATTTGGTCATTCGTTCACTTTTTAATCTGTAACAATAGAATGACACAGATTCATGTAGAATTAATCAGAAGACTTGAAAATTTCTTATTTTACAATTATGATTGATGAAACAATTATTACAAAATTTGGTTTGTCTTTTTTGAGCATTTAAAATTGCCACAGATATATATATATATATATAAAGTCGCCTGATTAACTTTCAATTCATTCCATGTCTTTCTGATTATGACTGTGAAGTGTATATGTATATCTCATATTTATCTTTATTTATTCATATTTGTATCTCAGTGAAAATGTAACAATCTTTATATAACATTGTATACCTGGCTTATAGTTAGCTAAACCAAATTGGCTGAACATTTTTGTGGGAACCCTTGCGTATCCTGGGTGTTTCACAACTTTTGTAGCCAATGGAGACAGACTTTTCATCCCTGTAGAAGTTATTGCATCTTGAAATATCACAAAGTTGGTTAATGAGTAATTTTAAGATGGATTTAGTAGAATGAATCAGTAATTGAATAATCATTAGACTTTGTGATATTTCAAGATGCAATACTCAGTCAAATTTGTCAAAAAATTCATTGTAAAACAGTTTAAGAATTCAACACACAAAATATAATTCTTAAGTAGAATTTAAAAAATGGTTTGAGTTGTGCTTTTTTTGCGTGACGCGGCTGGATTTTTTAAAATCACACTTTAAAGGCCCATAAATATACCATTTAAAAAAGTAGTTTTGACCGGAAGAGTCAAATTGGTGGTACGGAAGGGGAAATAGTGGTAGCTCATGGCTGCCGGAAGAGAAAAAAAAGCTAATATGTGGCACGGAAGGGGAAATAGTGGTGGTTCATGGCCGCCTATCTTCCCCCGCTCACTGAATAATGGGAGAACCTTGTATTTTATGCAAAATAACTGCATAAACGTTCCCTTTTTCATGTTTATTATTAAATATATCATTTTAAATTATTTTAGCATGAAAGATATCATGTAAATAAAGTCTTCAAACTGTTATTCTGTTTTTTTGAATTTCAAAAACCAAAATATTTCGATGCAACACTAAAATATAAAGGTCCTGATAACCTCCATTCAAAAAATGTTCAGGTCCTGATAGCGCAAATTTTGCGAAATAAGGTCCTGACAGCCGAGAAAAGTGGTCCTGACAGCGAAAACTCTTTCATGCGTGGGTTATAAGGACACCTTCAAAAAGCGACGTATGAACCCCAAAATTTATTTAAGAATTTGTGAAGCTTTAAAACACAGATTTTTAAAATTTCATGAGGATACAATCATTAGTTCCTTAGTTTGTATACAGCGACAGGCTATCTGGACTGTCACAACTGGTCCTGGTAACCTTGCTTATGCGAATGGGTGTATCCAATAAACGCCAAAACGGCTTAACCAATTGGGCCCAAATTTTGTTTGGGACCTCACATGTCACCAGGGTATATTTTTCCATAGGTGGAGTGGGAAGGTTGGAGGGGGCGGGGGGGAAGTACCAGGTAGACTTTTAATCTGTTAGAGCATTCAGTGCAGTACACATATAGACCATTTTAGACAAACTGGAACAGTATACTAAATATATAATACCCTTCTAGAGACATTCATGTGAGAGAAATAATTCTTTTTTCAAGAAAAAAAAATAGGCATTAAAATCAAATATCATTTAAAATTTTATCTTTAATTTTTAATAAAAAATGTTTATAAAATGCAGATACTGGCTAAAAAACATAGAACAATTATCTTATTGAAAGGTTTTCTTATTCTTTTTTTAAATTTGTATGATTTTTATAAACCCTGTTTTTAAAAAAATGATTTATCTAAAAAATGTAATATGTATGTGGGAATTTCAAGAGAAAGATATGAAAAACAAGTTTTAGTCAAGAAGTTTATTGTTGGAGGCGTAACATTTCTATGTATCCCATTTGCAAATAATTTGATAATAACATTAAAAATTAATTTTGCTTTTTAAATATTTTTAAAGATAAGGGTAAAGAAAGCATAAAAATACTTAAATACAAGAGAAGAATTTCAATTTTATTTACATTGATAAAATACAATTGTCAATTTGCTGATTCATCGCCGATTTGTCATCCATTTCCGGTTTACTTAACTTAAATTAATCAGTATTCCATCTTTTAAAGTCTGTTTTTTTCTTGGATTTAAAAAATGGGTTTTTGACCTAAACTTTAATTAATTTTGCGATAACAATTATAAACCAATTTAAATTGTCACATTTTAGTCAAACTCAAAAAATTTTTTATTTAGCTAAAGGCGCTGTTGCTTTTAATTTAATACTTCTTATTTTATCTTCTTTTAAATTAAAATTGGGTAAGTATAAATATAAAGCAGATACTTTCTAAAATTATAAGGCCAAATGACTATAACCTAAATTTGTCAAATGATGCACTCAAAAACATAACTTCCCCCTTGGAGTGCTATCCTAAACTAAATATTTATTTTAATTTGTTATATATTTTCAAATACCTAACAGTTGTTAATATATCCAAATTGGTATTTCTCCATCTAATTGCTCTGTTAATGTTGGCGGTGGTTCAAATGTTGTTGATCTCAGCAAAATTGGTATTTCCCCATATAACTGCTCTGTTGTTGTTGGTGGTGGTGATGTTGTTTCTCCCACTGTGTTTTTTTCTGCTGCAGTAGTTGTTTCTCCTTGTGTTATTGTTTCTCCTATTGCAGTTGTTTCTCCTTCTGTAGAGGTTTCTCCTACTGTATTTATTTTTCCTACTGTAGTTGTTTCTTCTATTGTAGTTGTTTCATCTGCAGTAGTTATTTCTCCTGCATTTGTTGTTTCTCCTCCAGTAGTTGTTTCTTCTACTGTTGTTGTTTCTCCTGCATTAGTTGATCCTACTTTTGAAAAGTTTTTCCTTCTGTAGTTGTTTCTCCTTTCGTAGTAGTTTTTCCTACTGTAGTTTTTTTTCCTTCTGTAGTTGCTTCTTCTACTGTAGTTGTTTCTACAGCAGTAGTTATTTCTACTGAATTTGTTGTTTCTCCTCCAGTAGTTGTTTCTTCTACTGTTGTTGTTTCTCCAGCAGTAGTTGTTCCTCCATGTGTAGATGTTTCTCCTACTGTCGTTGTTTCTCCTACTGTAGTGGTTTCTCCTTCTGTAGTTGTTTCTCCTTTTGTAGTGGTTTTTTCTATTGTTGTTGTTTCTCTTACTGTAGTTGTTTCTACTGCAGTAGTTATTTTTCCTGCTTTTGTTGTTTTTCCTCCAGAAGCTGTTTCTTCTACTGTTGTTGTTTCTCCTGCAGTAGATGTTTCTCCTACTGTTGTTGTTTCTCCTACTGTAGTTGTTTCTCCTGCTGAAGTTGTTTCTTCTACTGTAGTTGTTGATTCTATTAAAATTGGTATTTCTCCATTAAACTCTTCTGTTGTTGTTTCTTTAGCGACTGTTGTTATTGATCCATGTAGTTGCTCTGTTGTTGAAGGTGGTGGTTTAACAGTAGTTGATCCCAGTAAAATTGGTATTTCTCCATCTAATTCTGTGGTTGGTGGTTCAACAGTTTTTGATTCAACAAAAATCGGTATTTCTCCATTAAACTGGTCTTTAGTTGTTGGTAGTGGTTCAACAGTTGTCGATTCAAACAAAATTGGTTTTTCTCCATGAAATTGCTCTGTTGTTGTTGGTGGTTACTGAAAAGTTGTTGATTTTACCAAAATTGGTATTTCTCCATATAACTGCTCTGTTGTTGTTGGTGGTTGTTCAACAGTTGTTGATTCTACCAAAATTGGTATTTCTCCATTTAATTGCTCTGTTGTTGTTGGTGGTTGTTCAACAGTTGTTGATTCTACCAAAATTGGTATTTCTCCCTTTAATTGCTCTGTTGTTGTTGGTGGTTACAGAAAAGTTGATGATTCTACCAAAATTGGTATTTCTCCATAAAACTGACTTGTTGTTGTTTGTGGTGGTTCAAAAGTTGTTGATTCTATCAAAATTGTCATTTCTCCATTTAAGTGCTCTGTTGTTGTTGTCGGTAGTGATATTGTTTCTCCTACTGTCGTTTTTTCTACTGCAGTAGTTGTTTCTCCTTGTGTTCTTGTTTCTCCTACTGCAGTTGTTTCTCCTACTGTAGTTGTTTCTCCTAGTTTAGTTGTTTCTCCTTCTGTAGCGGTTTCTCCTACTGTATTTATTTTTCCTACTATAGTTGTTTCTTCTTTTGTAGTTGTTTCATCTGCAGTAGTTATTTCTCCTGCATTTGTTGTTTCTCCTCCAGTAGTTGTTTCTTCTAGTGTTATTGTTTCTCCTGCATTAGTTGATCCTACTTTTGAAATTGTTTCTCCTATCATAGTTCATTCTCCTACTCTTGCTGTTTCTCCTTTGGTAGTGGTTTTTCCTACTAAAGTTGTTTCTCCTTCTGTAGTTGCTTCTTCTACTGTAGTTGTTTCTTCAGCAGTAGTTATTTCTACTAAATTTGTTGTTTCTCCTCCAGTAGTTGATTCTTCTACTGTTGTTGTTTTTCCAGCAGTAGTTGTTTCTCCTTGTGTAGATATTTCTCCTTCTGTAGTTGTTTCTCCTTTTGTAGTGGTTTTTCAATTGTTTTTGCTTCTGTTACTGTAGTTGCTTCTTCTTCTATAGTTGTTTCTACTGCAGTAGTTATTTGCCCTGCTTTTGTTCTTTCTCCTCCAGAAGTTGTTTTTCTACTGTTGTTGTTTCTCCTGCAATAGTTGTTTCTCCTACTGTCGTCGTTTCTCCTACTGTAGTTGTTTCTTCTACTGTAGTTGTTGATTCTATTAAAATTGGTATTTCTCAATTAAATTCCTTTGTTGTTGTTACTTTAGCAATTGTTGTTATTGACCCATGTAGTTGTTTGTTGTTGAAGGTGGTGGTTTAACAGTAGTTGATCCCAGTAAAATTGTTATTTCTCCATCTAATTCTGTGGTTGGCGGTTCAACAGTATTTCTCTATTAAATTGGCCTTTAGTTGTTGGTAGTGGTTCAACAATTGTTAATTTTAAGAAAATTGATTTTTCTCCATATAATTGCTCTGTTGTTGTTGGAAGTGGTTTAACGGTTGTTGATTTTACCAAAGTCGGTATTTCTCCATATAACTGCTCTGTTGTTGTTGGTGGTTGTTCAACAGATGTTGGTTCTAACAAAATTGGTATTTCTCCATTTAATTGCTCTGTTGTTGTTGGGGGTTGTTCAACAGATGTTGATTCTACCAAAATTGGAATTTCTCCAAATAATTGCTCTGTTGTTGTTGGTGGTGGCTGAACAGTTGATGATTCTACCAAAATTGGTATTTCTCCATTAAACTGACTTGTTGTTGTTTGTGGTGGTTCAAAAGTTGTTGATTCTATCAAAATTGGCATTTCTGCATTTAAGTGCTCTGTTTTTGTTGGTGGTGGTAATGTTGTTTCTCCTACTGTGGTTTTTTTCTGCTGCAGTAGTTGTTTCTCCTTGTGTTCTTGTTTCTCCTACTGCAGTTGTTTCTCCAACTGTAGTAGTTTCTCCTAGTTTAGTTGTTTATCCTTCTGTAGTGGTTTCTCCTACTGTATTTATTTTTCCTACTGTAGTTGTTTCTTCTATTGTAGTTGTTTCCTCTGCAGTAGTTATTTCTCCTGCATTTGTTGTTTCTCCTCCAGTAGTTGTTTCTTCTACTGTTGGTGTTTCTCCTGCATTAGTTGTTCCTACTTTTGAAGTTGTTTCTCCTACCATAGTTGTTTCTCCTACTCTCTTTGTTTCTTCTACTGTAGCAGTTTTTCCTTCTGCAATTGTTTCTTCTTTCGTAGTGGTTTTTCCTAGTGTAGTTGTTTCTCCTTCTGTAGTTGTTTCTATTGCAGTAGTTATTTCTCCTTCATTTGTTGTTTCTCCTTCAGTAGTTGTTTCTTCTACTGTTGTTGTTTCTCCAGCAGTAGTTGTTCCTCCTTGTGTAGATGTTTCTCCTACTGTCGTTGTTTCTCCTACTGTAGTAGTTTCTTCTTTTGTAGTTGTTTCTCCTTTTGAAGTAGTTTTTCCTATTGTTGTTGTTCCTCATGCTGTAGTTGTTTCTTCTACTGTAGTTGTTTCTACCGCAGTAGTTATTATTCCTGCTATTGTTGTTTCTCCTCTAGTAGTTGTTTCTCCTTGTGTAGTTGTTTCCCCTACTGTTGTTGTTTCTCCTACTGCAATTGTTTCTTCTTTCGTAGTCGTTTTTCCTAGTGTAGTTGTTTCTCCTTCTGTAGTTGTTTCTACTGCAGTAGTTATTTCTCCTGCATTTGTTGTTTCTCCTCCTGCAGTTGTTTCTCCTACTGTAGTGGATTCTCCTTCTGTAGTTGTTTCTACTGCAGTAGTTATTTCTCCTGCATATGTTGTTTCTTCGACTGTTGTTGTTTCTCCTGCAGTAGTTGTTCCTTCAACTGTAGTGGTTTCTCCTTCTGTATTTGTTTCTCCTTTAGCAGTGGTTTCTTCTATTGTAATTGTTTCCTGCATTTGTTGTATCTCCTCCAGTAGTTTTTTCTTCTACTGTTGTTGTTTCTCTTGCAGTAGTTGTTCCTCCTTGTGTAGTCATTTCTCCTACTGTCATTGTTTCTCCCCCTGTAGTAGTTTCTCCTTCTGAAGTTGTTTCTCCTTTTGTAATGATTTTCCCTACTGTAGTTGTTTCTCTTACTGTAAATGTTTCTTCTACTGTTGTTGTTTCTCCTGCAGTGGTTATTTATTCTACTGTAGTTGTTTCTCCTACAATAGTGGTAACTCCTATTGTAGTTGTTTCTCCTAATGTAGTTGTTTCTACTGCAGTAGTTATTTCTCCTGCATTTGTTGTTTCTTCTCCAGTAGTTGTTTCTTCTACTGTTGTTGTTTCTCTTGCAGTAGTTGTCCCTTCTTGTGTAGTCGTTTTTCCTACTGTTGTTGTTTTTCCTACTAAAGTGGTTTCTCCTCCTGAAGTTGTTTCTCCTTTTGTAATGATTTTTCCTACTGTAGTTGTTTCTCTTACTGTAGTTGTTTCATCTACTGTAGTTGTTTCTCCTACTGTAGTGGTATCCCCTACTTTATTTTTTTCTCCAACTGTAGTGGTTTCTCCTACTGTAGTTGATTTTACTGCAGTAGTTATTTCTCCTGCATTTTTTGTTTCTTTTTTAGTAGATGTTACTTCTCCTGTTGTTGTTTCTCTTGCAGTAGTTGTTCCTCCTTGTGTAGTTGTTTCTCCTACTGTAGTGGTTTCTCCTTCAAAAGTTGTTTCTCCTTTTGTAATGATACTTCCTGCTGTAGTTGTTTCTCTTACTGTAGTTCTTTCTTCTACTGTAGTTGTTTCTTCTGCTGTAGTTGTTTCTTCTACTGTTTATTTCTACTGCTGTTGTTATTTCTCCTCTACTAGTTGTTTCTTCTACTGTTGTTGTTTCTCCTGCAGTAGTTGTTCCTCTTTGTGTAGTTGTTTCTCCTCCTGTAGTTGTTTCTCCTACTGTCGTTGTTTCTCTTACTGTAGAGGTTTCTCCTTCTGTAGTTCTTCCTCCTTTAGCAGTGGTTTCTTCTACTGTTGTTAATTTTCTTGCAGTAGTTGTTCCTCCTTCTGTAGTTGTTTCTCCTACTGTCGTTGTTTCTCCTCCTATAGAACTTTCTCCTACTCTAGTGGTTTCTCCTTCTGAAGTTGTTTCTCCTATTGTAATAATTTTTCCTACTGTAGTTGTTTCTCTTACTGTAATTGTTTCTTCTCCAGTAGTTGTTTCTTCTACTGTTGTTTTTTCTCTTGCAGTAGTTGTTCCTCCTTGTGTAGTTGTTTTCCTACTGTCGATGTTTCTCCTACTGCAGTGGTTTCTCCTGCTGAAGTTGTTTCTCCTTTTTTAGTGGTTTTTCCTATTGTTGTTGTTTCTCTTATTGTAGTTGTTTCTTCTACTGTAGTTGTTTCTCCTTCTGTAGTGGTTTCCCCTACTTTAGTTGTTTCTACTGCAGTAGTTTTTTCTCCTGCATTTGTTGTTTCTTCTCCAGTATTTGTTTCTTCTACTGTTGTTGTTTCTCTTGCAGAAGTTGTTCCTCCTTGTATGGTTGTTCTCCTACTGTCGTTGTTTCTCCTATTGTAGTGGTTTCTCCTTCTGAAGTTGTTTCTCCTTTAGTAGTGGTTTTTCCTACTATACTTGTTTCTCTCACCGTAGGTGTTTCTTGTACTGTAATTGTTTCTTCTACTGTAGTTGTTTTCCCTAAAGTAGTTGTTTCTCCTTGTGTAGTTGTTTCTCCTACTGACGTTGTTTCTTGTACTGTAGTTGTTTCTCCTACTGTAGGTGTTTCTTCTACTGTAGTTGTTTCTGCTACTGTAGTGGTTTCTCCTACTTTAGTTGTTTCTCCTACTGTAGTGGTTTCCCCTACTTTAGTTGCTTCTACTTCAGTAGTTATTTCTCCTGCATTTGTTGTTTCTTCTACAGTAGATGTTTTTTCTACTGTCATTTTTTTTCCTACTATAGTGGTTTCTCCATCTCTAGTTGTTTCTCCTTTAGTACTGGTTTTTCCTACTGTAGTTGTTTCTCCTTTAGTACTGGTTTTTCCTACTGTAGTTGTTTCTCCTACTGTATTTGTTTTTCCTACTTTAGTTGTTTCTCCAACTGCAGTGGTTTCTTCTACTGTAGTTGTTTCTTCAACTGTAGTTGTTTCTACTGCAGTAATTATTTCTCCTGCTGTCGTTGTTTCTCCTACAGTATTTGTTTCGGCTATTTTAGTGGTTTCTACTATTGTAGTTGTGACTACTACTAAAGTTGTGTCTTCTACTGTAGTTGTTTCTCCTAATGTTGTTCTTTCTCCTTCTGTAGTTGTTTCTCCTACTGTGGTTTTTTCTCCTACAGTAGTTGTTTTTCCTGCAGTTGTTGTTTCTCCTAATTTAGTTGTTTAAGTTACTGTAGTTGCTTTTCCTGGTGTAGTTGTTTCTCCTACTGTAGTTTTTTCTCCTGTGTCAGTTGTTTCTCCTTCTGTAGTTATTTCTCCTGCAGTAGTTCTTTCTCCTGCAGTAGTTGTTTCTCCTGCAACAGTTGTTTCTCCTGCAGTAGTTGTTTCTCCTGCAGTAATTGTTTCTCCTGCAACAGTTGTTTCTACATTATGGTGTGGTATTAAGGATCATAAATGATACAATAAAAGATTTGTCCATTCATCNTTCTTCTACTGAGGTTGTTTCTCCTACTGTAGTTGTTGTTCTTAAAATAGTTGTTTTTCCTGCATTTGTTGCTTCTTGTGCAGTAGATGTTTCTCCTATTGTAGTTGTTTCTCCTGCAATAGTAGTTTCTTCTGTAGCAGTTGTTTTTTCTGCAGTAGTTGTTTTTCCTGCAGTTGATTTTTCTCCTGCTGTAGGTGTTTCTCCTACTGTAGTTGTTTCTCCTGTAGCAGTTGTTTCTCCAACAGTAGTTGTTTCTTCTGCAGTTATTAATTCTCCAAATGTAGTTGATTTATCTGCAGTAGATATTTCTCCTGCAGTAGTTGTTTCTCCTGCAGTTGTTATTTTACCAATTGTAGTTGATTTACCTGTAGTTGATATTTCTCTTGCAGTAGCTGTTTCTCCTAGTGTAGTTGTTTCTTCTGCAGTAGTTTTTTCTCCAGCTGTTGTTGTTGCTTGTACTGTAGTTGTTACTTGTGCAGTGGCTGTTTTTCCTGCAGTTGTTGTTTCTCCTAATGTAGTAGTTTTTCCTACTATAGTTGTTTCTCCTGCATTAGTCGTTTTTTTTTCTACAGATGTTTCTCCTGAAGTAGTTGTTTCTCCTGGTGTAGTTGTATCTCCTTGAACTGTAAAAGATACGACTTTCGTTACAGTGGGTGGATTTACTGGAGAAGTGACTTCTTCTGTTACATTGGGTGGATTTATATCCACTAGAGTGGTTTCTTCTGGATTGGTTACTACTGGATTTGTAATTTCATTATTGTTTGGATTTATTGTTGTGAGTTCAACTGTTGGTATTGGTATTCTTAATGTTGATCCTATAACTTCTTGTATGTTTGGAACAAGGTTATTATAAATATTTTTTAACATTTTGAGAATTTGAGCAATTCTAATCTTGATTGACTTTATTAAAATTCTTATTTTTTCCCTTTGTTCAATAACTAGAGTTCTTTCAGTATTAGATAGCAGAACACTTGTGAAGGAAACAAATTTTTCAGCCAAGGCAAAGAGATCTTCCCGTGATCCTATGGCATCAATGTTCACTAAAAAATTTTAAATTTTAATTGCCAATTTTATTTAAAAGACTATTTCTAAACACACAGAGACATTAGTTCTGAAGAAGAAATTTATTTACTTGTAGTAGCCGTTGCTTTTATAACAATTTGATCAAGGACTTCAACACATTCTGCACCGGAAGCTTTAATCAATTCTCTCTTCACCCTAAAGAGAATGATGAGAAACTGGAGAGTAGATAAATCGAAGATGAAAAGTGATTGAAATAATTTCCATTAGTCATGCTGCAAGACAGTTATGAGATTTTTATTAGGGCCTTAGTGATGTCAATAGTGATTATGAAATGATTTACCTAGCTGTCCCATTTAAGATCATACCAATTTTAGTATCAACTTTTAACATTTTATCTAAAGCAGTATTCAAGGATTTTAATACCCCTAAAAGATTATCCTCTGATGTAAAACATTTTGTAATATAACCAGTAGCACCATCTTCTAGTTTCTTACAAGCTGCGTAAACTGGTTTACACACATCAAGAGATTTCTTAGCTTCTCTTTCCAGTGTAACACCTGAAATTGTTGAGTAATAAAAGATGTATTTTAAAAACTTGAATGTTTAAATTAATGGAAAGAATGCAATGCCTAGGCCTTCTAAAATCAAGCTAGTTTTATAAAATCAAAGACACAACATTAAATGAAGTTTTCACTCAACTTTTTTTATTTTTAGAGTAATTTCTCATAGACATGGGCATTGAGCAACTAGTAGAGGATGGTCTAGCTTTATTAATCTAAAAAGTGTTTTTTAAATTGTTTTTGGCATAAAGTTTAGAAGTTGTTAAATATTATAAATTAAAATGTAAAACCATTTAATGAATGTATGGATGTTAAGTGCTTCTTTTTATTGTAATATTTTTTCTATTTCTAAATTGCACAAAGATTGGACAGTAGGGTCAGTTCCAATTTTGGTTCACACTGATCTAGATTTAACCAATGATTTCGCTCTCAAAAAATACAAATTGTAAAAAAATACAAATTGCCAATAACACGGGTGGGGACACATGATATAACACACAGAACAAGAAAAATTAAACTTTTACTACTAAATTCTTATTCTGATCAGTCCATTAAATTTAAGATATTGTTTACAAATATTTAAGGTTGTTTATATATAACATCAGTCCATTTAATTAAAGATGTTTACAAATATATATATATAAATAATTTTTAGTTTAACTTACTTAATTTACTGCAGTTGGAGAACCGTCGTGGGTAATCTTCTATTTGGCTAAAACATGTGCATTGATCTGAAGAGCTCGTTTTGTTCAAGCAGGCCTGATAATCAATCCTAAAATGTTTATTTGTGTGTCTCAGGGAACATATAAAAATGCAAATTCAGAACAACAATTTAGTTCTTTGGAATTATGTATGCAAATTTTTAATTACAAGTAGATATTTTAAAATTCACTAAGATCTAATAAAAGATTTCATGCAAATTACAAAATTTAAACTTTTCTTTAGCTAATACATTTTTTTAACACTTACGACAAATTAGTGAGAAGGGACAAGCAATCATCCATGAGGGTTTGATTCTGTTCTGAACCTGCACTGTTTACACATTGTTCAGTTATGTTTCCCTCACAGTAACTCATGTTCATGTAATAATCATATCCCTAAATTAGTTCTGAGGTTAAACCTTTCGAGAAATGGCACTTTACTTTATACAAGATATTTTAAACTTTGATCCTAATCTCAACCCAACACAAGGATTTACAACTTGCTGCCTGATGACCCACTAGGCTAGGAAATTGATCCTTCTTTATCTTGTTTATCTCAAGTCAGTAAAGTTAACCAGGGTGGAGCTATGGAGGAATCAATGCTGGTGGGAGGAGTGTAATAGCATTTCTATGGCCATGGTAGAAACGAGCTTCATCGGCCATCTTATACCCCAAGACCAAGCAAGTTCTTTTCAGTCCCGAACCAGAAGGGTCAAATGGAAATATATTCGCTGCAGGGGAATATGTGTTATTTAGATCAATCTGTGTTGATCCAACACTTACTATTTGTATTATTAAAATGGAAATATATTTTTTGTATATTATATTATTCCACTCAATCTTGGCTTTTTATTATTAGTCTTTTTTCAAGTCTATACTAATGATAACAACAGACTACTGCACAATTCTCAAACTTGAGCAGATGTGGTATGTTTGATTGACAGAACTTCAGGAATTCAGTATAATAGGGAAGGTATGTATAGAATAGGTGAAACTTACCATTCCACCATCTGTTGTATTGTATTGACCTCCACAAACTGGAGAATTATCCAGGATTGAATCATTACCCCCAATAGCAATCATCAGAGCATTCTTAGAAGTGCTGATAAAATTACTGGAGTTTAACTTCTTTTCTGAAAATATTGTTGGCAAATTAATTTTTTAGATAATGTGTTGCAAATAGTACAGGTGTCTAATATTTGCTCAATATATAATAAAAGTGACCATTCACTTTTTTGGGTACTTTCGGTGTTAAAACCCATTAGTGACGAGAAGGTCAATTTTGACCGGGTGAGGTTTTTCTTTTTTAAGTGCCTTTTTTCTTAAGCTAAATGTTGTCTTGTCTTTTCCTGCGCTTTCCTTAGGATTTCTTGTTTTCAAAACATATTTTATATTTGATGAAACTTCAAAATTGGGTTTTTATTTAAATTTTAAATTTTAAAACACCAAAAAACAAGATTTTGAATTCGGAAAAAAAACCAAAAGAACACCCTGTAATTTAGTTTTGAATCTATAAAATTGTCAATTTTTTTTGCTAGAAACCATTTAAAGATATTTTTGGAATCTTCTTCTAAAGATCTAAATAACTAAAACATGAAAAGTAAAGTTTTGAAGATAATTAAATAATTATGAATTACCAAAGTTTTTCAGATTTTCATGTTTTACAGGTCACCCTGTACAAAAAAAATTCAAAAATTTAATTGAATATCATTTTTTCATGAGTACAATCAAGTTTGTTTTGACAAGATCCTTCTAAAACAACTTCACTAATAGTTAATGGTCTCGTCACTAATGGGTCAACTAAATAGCTCATTAGCTATGATTAGTATTGGTCTTACTTTTCAAAGACAACTGTGGCTGGAGAAAAAGCCGATTTTTTGTTCAGAATTGGAGCTCAAAAAATGTTAAATATAAAATTAAACTGTAGTATCTAATAGTAAATAATTGTAAATTTCATATTTTTTATTTTTTTTAACTTTCTATTTCTAACATAGCATTTTTTTAGCGCATTGAACATTTGCTTCTTTGTAAAGTGCTGAATAGAACAAAGTATATGAATGAAAAGTTGCGCTGATACAGGAACGGAACGAGATTATAAATTAAAATAGGGTATGTTGATAATAAATTAGAAAACTGATTGAGGGGTGTCATCAGGGGCGGATAC